AAAAAATAAAATTCCGTCGGAAATCCGTCGGAAATTGTTTTTAATTAACACTAATTAATTGATTTAAATAAATTAGACAAATTTTGCGACGGATTTCCGACGGATTTGTAACGGTTTAGAATAAGTAAAAAAATCCGTCAKAAATCCGTCACAAATCCGTTGAAAACCCGTTTTAAATAATTTTAATTTTTTCCCGAAAAATTCTGTGGGGGATTTGTGGGGGATCTGTGGCGGATATGGATAAAAGTTGACTTTTTTTGACTTTTTTGGTATCCGTCGGAAATCCGTCGGTAATCCGTCGGTAATATTTCCGACGGAATTTCCGCCAGAAAAATCCGTCGGTGATGCCCTTTTTTTTAGTAGTGTCACCAACAAAAATGAATAATAGAATCAAAGCACATTGCATTTTAATGCATTTATTTATACCCTAAACTTATTCATACATTACGAAATAATTGAACTCCACAACTATCAAGAAATCATACCACAAAAATTTCAACTTTTGTATAATCAAACTTATCGTCAACCATTCAAACCATATGATTATGATTCCATTCAAACCATTATGATTATGATTATGGTTGCATATTACTTGTTAGGTTGTAAAATTTTGTAATAATAACTAATTATTAGGTCTATGATGCATTGTACTTCGTCTTATAAACTTTAAATCTATATTATATTATAAAACATTTGACAAAAACTCTTAAAAACCATTTTTATACATAAAGTACTGTATATTGATGCATAAATATTATTTAAAATTCAAGATTACAAGTAAATTATGCATAAGTACAACTTATTAAAGCTCCATATTTGAATTTGTGTAACTAACTACAGATAAACATAATCAAATAGAAGATAAACATCTCATTTTAAAATATAAAAAATTTAAAATATAATTAAGATAATTATCAGTTCTAACAAAATAATATTAAAAAATTATACAAAAAATATGAATTTTAAATAGTTAATTGATACAAATATCGATATATTTTTGTCAAAATTTTATTATATCTTCAAGTTTATATTTTATTTAAAAACAAAAACATCATCGTTTTTTTCAAAATCACATAAGACCATACTATAACATCGACTGGGATAAAAAATAAAATGAAATATTAAAATCAAGATGTATCTCGTTGCATTGCACGAGTACTCTTCTAGTATTTTATTAAGATGTTCGCTATCATTGTAATTAATAGACCAATTTTTAAAGTGATAGTTGATAACCATCAACTCATTCATCACCAATAACTTCTTTTGTTTAAAATCTCTCCTTTCATATCATGTTTCTCTTAAAATCTTGAAGAAACACCATCAAAAAGTACAGACAAATTAATGAGAAAACAACTCTTTGTTAACCAAGATGTGACCACCCTTAAGAACACACCAATTCATCGTTTTAAATAATGGGGTGAATGTTACCGTTTCCAACAATTCATAGTCGATCCACCCAAATAGTTGAGCTAATATCATCTCTATAATCTCCTTTTCGTCATCAATTTTTACAATGCTACCTTCGGTTATTAAGGTAATTTGGTTCTGTATCTATACTTCTATCTGTTTATGTTGCAGCCAGGCAAGGGTGAACATACCAAGAAATGATTCAGTACCAGCACTTATTGCGTTTGGAGATTCCTTCATGGATTCGGGCAATAATAACGCTCTATTAACCGTGATCAAGGCTAATTTTCCGCCCTATGGAGAGGATTTTATGGGTGGGAAACCAACAGGAAGGTTCAGCAATGGGAAGATAATGCCGGACATGATTGGTAATTAACTAAAACGAACTAATCCCTGATTGTTGTTCAGCAGGATCCAGATATCCCCTACTATTGTTAGTAAAATTCCTAACCCGTTTTAATCTTGTAGTTTCTAACAAATATTATATGAAATTGTTGCATTGTTAATTGATGTTTTAGTACTGCAAGATTTCAATCTACTAAAAACTACAATTTTTTGATACCAAATTTCAAGCTGAGAGATTAGGACTGAAGGACTACGTTCCAGCGTATTTAGACCCTTCCGTAGAAGAAAACGAACTTCCATTTGGTACAAGTTTTGCTTCTGGTGGCTCTGGGTATGATTCCTTAACATCCAAAATAGTGGTATGCATGCATATCTTTTTTTGAGTTAAACCTGTTGCTTTTCTACTCTTTTAATTTCTTTCATAGTCGAACTAATTAATGATCATTTATGTTTGTCTGCCTTCATCGCTGATTATATCTTCACTTCTTCGGGAAGTATGGCCCTTAGAATGTTATACCATTGTCGGATCAGTTAGAGATGTTCAAAGAATACATTGCGAAGCTCAAAAGGATCGTTGGAGAAGAAGAAGCGAATAATATAATCGAGAAGAGTTTGTATTTGGTATCATGGAGCTCTAACGATTGGGCTATACCTTACACTGCTGTTCCAATTAGAAGATTACAATATGATGTGCCTGCTTATAGTAATCTTTTGGTAAACATAGCTACAAATTTTGCACAGGTAATCCCTCTGTGTAAGTTCTTTGTCACCTGATAAAAATTGTATTGGATTGTTGTTCTTGATATGTATAGGTTATTTATGAATGTTTGCATAAAATTGTTCAAGGAAATATACAAATTAGGAGCAAGAAGGATAGCTTTCTTCGGCGCACCCTATTTCGGTTGTTTTCCGTTAGGAAGAACTGCAGGTGGGGGAATACTTAGAATGTGTGGAGATAAGTTGAATGAAGAAGCACAATCCTTCAACAACATGCTAAAACGTCAGATCGAAGTTCTTGGTAGCAGTCTACCACAGTCCAGAATTACATATATTGATTACTACAAGCTTATGCAACAAATAATCGAAAACCATCAACAATATGGTAGGTAATAGATTCAACATTACAGTTTCAACACGCAAATTCTTCATTGGTAATGATACTTCTAAAGTTTATAGGTTTTGAAATCTGTTTAAATTGAAGCACTCCACCTCATCTTAGGGTTAGAGCAGCGTTCAAAAAGGCGCATCATGACGTGATATGGCACAAGACGTGCATCTGCCGTTACGAAATAGCCCATAGCGATTTCTATAAAGGCGTGCATATTTTGTAACACGTGATTTTTTTTCCAATTTTTTTATTTTTTATGTTTTATCTTTTGTGGTTTTACATTTTTAGCTTTAGATTTTACATTTTAGATCTAACTAATCAAACCACTCACAGTTTCACAAATTCAAAAACGTTACAGACTCATGGTTAAAATGAAGTTGTAAAATTATTTTTCTAAGTTCTATTTTTAATAAAAAAACATATTTTTATAATAATAATCTATATGATTTTTCTTCTTCTAATATGAATGTACATTTTTTAATATCATTATCTGATTAGATAATATATAGAAAACATATATCTATGCATATAATTCTATATATAACTTACAAAGTTGTCACCTTATGTCATGCCTTGAAAAATGTCACGTCCTTGACGTAGCGTGTAAGGCTTGAGGCTTGACCTTACTGCTACGCTTCATGCCTTTTTGAACCTTGGTTAAAAAGTAAACTCGTGTCATTAGTGAATAGTTATGTCATGTTTGCAAGCCTAAGTGGCCATGTGGAGCCCGCACGAAGATACATGCAACAGAACCCAAAGAGGTATTGTGTCCTTATGTGTTGTTAGCTTTGGTTTAATCACGTGGGTTGTAAACAATAAGTTAGTTAAAGAAAGGAATGAGCCTCGGATCTTGACTAAGCAGTTAATCTAATTAAAGAAACGCAACATGGATATTATCATTAAACAAGTTAACAACTATTGTTCTTCATCTCTTCTCATTCGACTATTTTGATTCCTTCAGTGTGGACATGAGTCTCCGAGCTTGACTAGGCCCCATATTCTTTAGAAGATAGTACGTTTCATTTGCTTAAACTCCAAGACCATCATGTTTGGTGACCATAAGCTAACAATTGCACTAAGATAGTATATAGGAAAGAAAAGAGAAAAGTCTCCCAAGGACAATCTCTCAAATACACATTAAGATGTTGACCCTTTTTCTTTTCTTTGCTAATTCCTCATTTTTTTTATCTTAATAGGAAAAACAACATCTGGTTTGCCACAAACTAGCTTTTTGAAATGTTTACTGATTAATTTTTTAACTTAAATAGATCGTTTTGCAAGTTCTTTACATCAACAACTCCAAGGAATTTTCGCTACCTTAGGACCGTTATAGTTTTCTTTTCTGTCATTTCACGTTATCATCTAGTTTATCAACCAGTTACATTTAGTAGACCAACAAGAATGTGAGTTTGAATTCCCCTTCAAACTTAACGCTTGAATAGTGGATGTCATTAATTCACATTTTTAATCGAAATTAACCATTCAATCTTTTTTCAGGATTCGATGTCGTAGACAGAGGCTGTTGTGGAACAGGAGTGGTAGAGACGATTGTTTTATGCAACAAATTCAGCCCAATATGCCTTGATGACTCTAAATTCTTATTTTGGGACAGTGTTCACCTTACAGAAAAAGGATATAACATCGTTGTGGATCATGCTCTTCCAGATCTCGTGTGATCAAGTTTGCTCTAAAATCATGGACCTTGTTGTAAGCGTTGTGATAGTGTGATGAAAAGATATTATCCCCAAATTTCTTGTCCACATATAAACCAATCATTAAAAATTATGATATATTTTTACATTATTGAAAGGACAAAAAAGGGAATATTAAGTTTGGGAAAAATTGATTCTTATTCATAGTAACAAACCTTATCGTTGGCAAGTTTTGTGTTAAGGACAATTAATGTATTACAATTCCCCATCTTTCTTCATGATTTCATGTGATTTACATAAAACGAAGTAAAATAAAAATACTTAAAACCTTTTTCGAGGAAACTTCAACCCAAGCTCAAAAACATCAAGATTTAGGACCAAAACAGCACAATGCCAAAACTTGCATGTTGTTGATATACAGTTTTGATGTATTGTTGTCCAAAAAAATTAAAAATAAAATAAAATTGGTTTTTCCGGTGATTAGTGGCGGCGTATCAACAGCCAAATCCGCTGCAGACTTTTTCCAAGTAATTTATTGACTACATTAATATAAAACTTACTTAATAAATTTATCGGTAGATCTTTAGCGGACTAATCAATCGGTGAATTAATCTGTCCAAATTTACAATTTTTTTGAACGAGCTCTGTCAATTCCTTCTCACTTCTAAGGATCACTATTTTCATATGTTCATTTCTTAAGGCTCTTGGGATTTCTGTGTTACTTGCAAAGTACCAAGAACTCTAGTGTTTTGGTTTAGTGCAATATGACTGATTTAGGTTTCCAGATTCCTAATTGTGGCACCCTGCTAATTAAGCTGGTTAGTGAACAAAGGTTGATTTTGAGAGTTTTGTTGGGTTATTAAAGCTTGATTTTGAGCTTGAGATTGCGCAAATAACTCTTTTATCATTGCTTCCACAGAAGATGATAAATTAGTTTGTCGAGGTGGCTTGTGTTGAAAAGATGGTTGAGCAGTTTAAAATTTTTGGTTATGATTTCAAGAATGATAACTGCTTGCGTGTTGTTGGAGTTGAAAATTGGAGGTTCCTTGTTGTTCAGATGCAGGTGGATTTAAACACGGACTGTTCCAAAAAAAAATTCGGATATTATTTCCAACTTGCATTGTAAGTGTTGGTATAGGGAACAAATATAATATGAAAACTATTTTATGGATTCAAAATTAATTATAAGAACAATGTTCGTTCGAGTGTTTCCCTGCCACAACAAACACATTGCATCGATAAACATTTTATTTTTATTTCATTTTGATTGCCTTGAATAAAAATTTCTAATGATATATTTTGTTATAAAAAATATCTATTTTATTATAATCTAATAATAATCAAAATGTATAAACAATGTTTAAGTTTAAATTGTTTATTTTATTTGTTCTGTCTTGTCCAGTTCTATTTTACCAAATGTTAAACAATTATTTTATCCTATTTTATTTGTCTTCTTTTATTATATACTGTTTTATTCTATCTGTCTAGTTATATTAAACACACCCTTAAGGATAACAATAAGAGTTTAAACAAATAAGTCATTTATACATTAAATATTTATCTTTTTCATATTATCGACGGGGTGGTGATAATTGTTTCTTCAACTCTATTGGTATTGAGTAGGGGGTCTAGCTATTATTAATGATTGAAATAATATGTACGTGGGTTTTGGTCCACTAATAATGGAGTTTCCACAAAAAAACCACATGAAAGTGATTTTAAAAAACCCAAACCGACGATCTTCCTGCATCGTGTAGCTTTAGTCTTGTTCGTTTTAAAAAAAAAAAAGAAAAAAAGAAAAGAAGTGATTTTAAAATAGAAAAACAAAGTAAAATATATACCAGAGCGGTTGTTTTTATCTGGTACAAATCGGACAAGATTTATCTTGTCTAAGAAAAACCGGTGTTTATCTGGTTTGACTAAAAAACTAGTTCAAAAAAGATCAATGTTTCCCCCTGATCCGAGATGATGGTTTTTGTAACGATCTGAATCTGGGTGTGTTGATTTGGCCGGTGGATTCTAATCCAAATTAAAGCTTTTGACGAAGTTATGTGTCTGGAAAAGCTTCGTCGGAGAACACTATTTCCGACGGTTTTTTGGTGAATTTCCAATTCCGGCGGATATGGCGGCCATAAATATTTTTTAATTTTTTCCATTTTCTCGAATTAATTAAGGGTATTACTAATTACGATTACAGTATATCCGTCGGTAATTTTTTTTATTTAAAAATTGAATTGTTAATCCACCAAAAATCCGTCAGAAATTTGATCGATAGTTCCAGAAAAAATATTGTGTTTGTTATTTCATAATATTATAATCTCTGTAAATTATAAAAACTGCTAAAACAAAAACTATAAAAATTGCTAAAATAATCAATTAATTCCCAATACAATTGTCTGGGCCAAATAAATACAATACAAATCGTTCAATGAAATTAAAATACGATTGTTCGGTGCAAGAGTTCATAAATACAATTAAGATCATACCTGCTTCGGTGGGGTCGATGAAATTTGCTAAGATTGGGTAAACCTCTTCACCATGTCCATCATCTGTACATGCTCCTTCTGGATCTCGTCTTCCTCTTCTGGTTCTCCTCTTCAAGGATAATTTTCTCATGCTCCCTCTTTCGAATCGCCTCTCAACTGAGCAAATCTTGAAGTTGGGTCGTAACTCATTAATAACTTATAAATACAATAAAACATTAGAATATTTAATAAGAACAATAAATGAAATAGATAAACATCAAAAGGGAAAAAGGTACACACTCGACCATCGGGTTTTCCTATGCAGATGTCCTGATCAAGATCCAATTGGGATCTCGGTTGCATCCGAACCCAAATAGACGACCTTTCTTAGTTTCCCCTACCGCCTGATTCCACAAATAAGTATCGACTAGTTGATAGGCCCAGGCATCCTCGCCATACTTTTTGGTTAGATTGGTTGAATAAGTACCCTTGTTTTATAAGATACTACAAATCAATTTCGATAGCATAATAGTTGTAAATGGAACATTTCCAACTAAAATAATACTAATGTTTTGCTAATACATGCAACCGAAACTAGATAGAGAGAGATATACACTAACAATTTAACAAAAAAATCATAATGTTTGCTCAACAAATGACAATCCAAACTATATATATATATATATATATATATATATATAGGCGAAGGAACGTGTGAGAAGAGAAGTTATGGTAAGAAGCGTAAGAAGATATTTGAACCCGTAATCACTTTTAATCTTATGCCCACCCATGAATTATGCTTTAGAAATGAATTGATCTGATGCATCTCGGTGCACCTTATTAGTGTTGACATTCAATTAGGATTGATCCAAGTGTGAAGATCTATTCTTACGCTTTTCACCATAGCTTCTCTTCTCACCGGAACCCAACCCTATATATATATTAACATTTTAACTAAAAAACATATGGTAACCCAAACTATATATATATATATATATATATATATATATATATATATATATATAGGCCTAATCAAATGAGAACTAATTAGGTTTTGGTAACTGTGAGGTCCAATATGAGCCAATCATGTTTTGGATGATTTGAAGCAGACATCAGTTATTTCTCGTATCGTTTAATAAAAGAAACCCAACATAGATAAAAGAAGCTAAGCCAAAGCTTGAGCCTTAAAAAAGAAAAATAAATAGTTTTTATTCCTGACAAGTGCACTTTATGCAGCTAACTTTACGTAATTTAGTTGCATCTTTTGTGCATTTTAGTTTGTAGTGTAGCCATTTTCATGCATTTTCATGCGTGAATTTCGTTTGAATGTCAATTTCGTTTGGATCATCAATTAACTTGATCAATTAGTTAACGTTCTCATATATGAATGTTTGTTATTAGAAACCCTAAAATCCATAATTGTCTAGGGATTTTGATATAGTCACGAATGAAATCATTTGGTCTCAACAAAGTTTTCAATTCAATTTCTTGAATTCTTGCGATGAAAGCTCTAATTAATAAGTCAAGCTTGTGTGCTTATTGCTTTGAGTTGGTGATTTTTTTAACTTGTTGATGTTTGCACCTGGGAATGTGAGTGCTTGTTCAAATTCCTATTTTTAGGTTAAAATTATATTAACGAGTTTGTTTTAATCAAAGTTTATATAAGGGAAAAATATAGGTTATTAGAGCTTGTTGATAAACATAGCCAATTTAGATTTGTTTAGCTATTTTACGTTTCTGGAATCAATTATAAGTATTAATACTTTAATCAACCTTTGTTGGATTTTTATATTGCTTTTCTAATCCATTCTTTTTTGGAATGACAAATTTTGAGATCCATTTTAATTGCATGTTTGGTTTAATTAATCAAATCCAACACCCCCTGGTATTTGTTTGCAGTTGTCCGTTCTTGTCCTTGAATTCATTGGCCATATTAAGTTAAAATCGAGTCTCTGTGGATTCGACCCGATTTACCGCCATTACATTCTTGGTTGTAAATAACTAGTAGTTGGAACTTTTTATTTGGTGGATTCGGCATCATTCAAGTACCTTCTTCCTTATCCTTTTAATTTATTCAATTATTTATTACTACATCTTTAATGGTTAATTTGTTTGTATAAAAAATGTGGTTACCTTGGCAAGCTTTGATACAAATGACACTTTGATCCTAATTTGTGACTATATAGATCAATGACTATGATCCTGATATGAAATTAGTTAGGGATGGATTTCGAAAAATATTTGTTTTTAATCATAATGTTTTTTCCAACATATGCATATTGCGAAAGTAAATATGAGTTTTGGTTTAGAAAAAGGTTTTTCACCTCGATAGAGGGTTAAAGTAATTTTGCATAACAAATCCTCACCATTACCAAAAATCCAAAGTTGGCATTCCTCGATGCCCTTTAGTATGTAATTTGTCTCGTTTTGTCCCGTCTATAATTGTTTTATATTTTTTTCTTGTTTTTTATTTGTTTATTTACTTTCTTCTAATTATTACAAAAGTCAAATCACCAATTGATTCTCGTAGCTAGCTAAGCTATAGTCTATAACGAGTCCATGTTTAGCCCATTGACTTCTCATAATCGACCCATATGCTACAGTTCCCGTCACTAGTGGTTATAAATTTAGAACTCACATCAACATCTAACCCTTCCTGGCCTCTTCTATTGCGCCTAAGTAGGATGTGATTTTGGATGACTGGAATTTTGGGATAATATATGAATCGAATAATTATTGTTGTTACCAACATTCTATTCGAAACTTTGATATATATAAACCGGATAGGGGTTTATTGCAGTGGACTGAATTTGATGCATGTCTACTAAACGTATTTGATGATCTACATATATACAGATATATGTTCTGATGTGCGTATAAAACATCTTTAAATCTTCATTTGTCAAAGATGTGATTTGTACAACTAAAACAATTTATGGCAAGGAAAGAAAGATTGATTGGTACACCATTAGCATCTAATGTAGTTATTACTTGAACTTGATATGATGTATAATATCATTAATTTCCCCTACGCATCTCTAATTATTCGGTGGTTGATTTTAAGTTGTTATAGTTGAGAAAAGAGTTAGAGATCTAAATCTAGATTACTTGCTTTCGTATGGACAGTAGAGGAAGCCTGATATAGTAAAAACTTTTCGTTTCGATTTCTTTTCTCCAACTTGATTCCATGTCTGAAGTTATTTGATTGATTTAATTGATGTAACCTTGATACCATTACGTCGGTACGCCTTTGTATAGAAAAGCAAAAGATGGGAGAATTTTCGAGTGGAAGGTTGAAAAGGATGATCATCTATACACATTGGAGGAGGTATTTCCATGAAGTAATATATTTCATGGTTTGTGGTTTCAGAAAACCTCTTGCATACTGCAAAAACACCACTTGATTGTCAAACCATACTTTCTTTTGATAATTTTGTTTAATTATATATTATGCTAATGATTTCGTATCCTATTCGAAGAAAATTCTGGATCTACCTCTAATTCGTATAACTTGTATATGCAAGCAAGTATATTTACATGTAAATACAATAATTAATATTTTTATATACAAGTATATTTATATCATTGACACACATGCACACACACACATATATATATATACATATATATATATATGAATGTCATGTTTATATCATTCTTAGATGCTTGTAAATGTGAAACTTTGTGGAATTCTCCTTTTTAAAATAAACTTTCCAAAAATAGAAATTCTCTAAACGATAAACTCTCAAATAAACATTCTTAAACTATAAAATTAAATACGTTTTTTAGAATTATGTTCTTCAAAATAAGAAGCAAATTATGATATATTTCGTTTCCATGTTTTGTATCCGGTAAAGAAGTGCAAATATCTCTTGTTGAACACATGAGATATTAGCAACTAGATAGCTGACAAATTATATACTTCATGAAACGTGGAAGAAACAAGTCCATAATTCATCTCTATATAAGGGAGCCATTGTAGCCATTTCAAGTGCATAACAAATTACCGATTTTGTGGAATATTGAATATTTACAGGTAGCAGAGTTGAGAGAGAAGTCGGCAAGGGTAGAGGAGGAATTGGTTGTCGAATAGAAGAGTTGGGCAAATTTGAGGCCGTACAGGCCAAACACGCTGTTGCGTTAGCCGAACAGGTCGCCTTATCGGAACATTGTTTTGCGTTTATACGGTAGTCATGATACGTTTCCCACCTCCCCCACCTCCCGGTAGTTAGACTGTACAAATTTGAACATTAAATTGTATGAATTTGATATTTTAAATTGTATGAACTAGTTAGTTTTAATTTTTTCACAGTTTTGCTTTGTTATTTTATGGCCAGGTTTTGTATAAATAAATATAATAATTATGTAATTATAAATTATTTATTTTTAAATTAATAAAAATTAGCAATAGATTAGCGAGGGAAAGTCCGTCGCTAAAAGTCTCTCTCCAATCCGTTGCTGCAAGATTCCCTCACTGATCAATCGCTAAAAGTTTCTCTCGTTGATCCGTTGCTGAAAGTTTCTCTAGCTGATCCGTTGCTGAAAGATTATGTTGTTGAAAGTCTCCCTCTCTGATCCGTCGTTGATCACTTGCTGAAAGTTTCTCTCATTGATCCGTCCCCACACGAAGTTTGTGAATAAGTGATTGTCTGATAATGAGCAAGGAATATCCGTCGATTTTGAATGAGAGAAAGAAGTGAGGAATCCTCTTTTCGACTCTAACTCTCCCGGCTTTACTAATGACTAAATTTGTTTCATTCGAACCCATATTGGTCGCTGAAAGATTCTCTCGTTGACTCCTCGCTGAGCGTAGTTAATCCATCGCTGATAGCATTACCTACGAGCTTTTAACCGACGGACGATTAGCGACGGATCAGTAACGGAAGACCCCTTTAGCAACGGATCAGTTAGGGACTTTTCCCTCGTTGATACTCTTCATTTTTGTAGCATTAATATTCACATATGGATGATAATTGTACTTGATATTAATATATGAATACATCATCAATAATCCAATATTTATATGCATATATTTTTTTTTTGCCAAATTACCCTCCCAAGTTCTTTACCCCCTACAAAATATATACTTTTTTTTGAACCGCAAGAAAGCAATTTATTAAACACGAAAGAAAAGACTAGCGAGGAGTTAGTTGTTTCGGTTGTAACTCAACTCTTTGTTAATAGAATATAGATTATTGTTTTGATGTCGCATAAACAGCTTGTCATTAGTGTTCTTGAAGATATATTAAAACACATTGTATTCTTAATTTTTCAAATTAATAACCTGTCAAAAAGTGTATTCATCAACCATCCAATTACTTCTTTTGTGTAATTGTTATTGGCATTGAACCTAAAAATTTATTATATAAAGCTATCACTCTTAAATGGATCTCAACCTTTCTATATTACTAATTTAAATATTCTTCCATATATTACAACATTCATAAAGTTTTGGTATAAATCACTAATGCATGAGTAGTTTATGGTTCAATAATAACTCTTGACCGAAAACCTGTACCATGCGTTGGAGGGGGCTCCATGCCTAAAAATTGAGTTAAAGCCTTTAACTTTTAAGACTATCTTTGACAAATTAGTTGATAAGTTAACTTACGAATAAATCATGTTTGCCAAAAACTAACTCTTAAAAAGGCATCTTGAAAAATTAGCAATTACAATATTTAATAATATAATATGTTAATTAATACAAACAAGATAGTAAAGAAAAATTAAAACAATATAATATATTAATTAAAAGAATTTTAAATTAATTATTATATGTATATATTATAAATTTTGGATTTGTTAAATCAAAATTTTAGACAAAAATCTACATTTAGTTATGATTTTAAATAACTATTAGTTATAATATGAATAAAAATAAAATTGATCAACCTCACATATCCGAATTCAATAATAATTTCTCAAAAACTATAATTAATAGTTAAATTAAATATATTAAAATCATTTAACACAATTTTATCATCTATAAAACAAGTATAATTTTAATTTTTATATAGCTTACATAAACATAAGTAGAATTGTTATATTTAATTTTTGAAAAATATATATATTAAATAGTAATTAAAATAATAATAATATAAAAATAAATGATATGATTAATAATAATTCTCAATAGTTAGTAATTAATAATTAATATTAATATATAATGTATAATAAAAATTAATTGATAGCTTTCAACTAATATTAATTACTATGAATTAATATTTATTAATGTAATAATTTTCAACTAATAATAATTACTATTAACTAATATTTATTAATGTTAGTAATGATTAATATTTATTTGTATTTATTATTAATTAATATTTATTAATATTTAATATTTATTAGTACATAATTATAGTTAATAATAATAAACTTCAATAAGGATTATAATTGGGGAAAAAATGACAAAACGATCCTTATAAATTACTTCAAGTAGCGTTTCAATAAGTTAGATTATAAATTAGCTTATGTCCAATGAAACATGTACCTAAAATAATAAGTTGGTTTATGTTTATAGAAGTGTTATAATTCTTTTTCATATAATTCTTTTCCATATAATTTGAGATTTCTTTTCCATATAATTTGAGATGAAGACAAAGACATTAACACCTGCAACTACAAGTAATCAATGTCGAACGTGGAAGAAGCATGTCCACAATTCATCCCTTTATAATGAAGTCATTGTTGCCATTTTTGGTGGAAAACAAATGTTCCTATTCCATGCTTACTTTTATTACTGTGCAGAGAAGGAATTATCTCCATTTATTTTCTTGATGCATCTTCCGGTTGTTAAGGGCATTCTCTTTTGTCTATGTGCTTCTATATATTTATGCCGCAGCGAGGAACCAATAAATCTGTCAAAAAATGTCTCTGTATCGGCGCTTATAGCATTCGGAGACTCCTTCGTTGATCAAGGGAATAATAACTATATCAAGACTTTGGGCAAGGCTAATTTTCCTCCTTATGGAAAGGATTTTGAGGGTGGAAAACCAACCGGAAGGTTCTCCAATGGGAAAACAATAGCTGATATTTTGGGTACGATTTTATTGATACATTTGACCCTACCATTCAAGTGATCCATACAGATCCCCTCTTCCACCTTTACTTTCACGTGCACCACACAAACTTCCTTTGTGTCTAACTCACCTAAAACCAAGTATCAATTTGCTGAATTTTTACATCATTTCGACTGACAAATTGCAATTATTGTTTGATATCAAATACTAAGCCGAGGCACTAGGAGTGAAGCAGTATCTTCCAGCATATCTAGACCCTTCCCTACAAGCCAAAGATCTACTATCAGGTGTAAGTTTTGCTTCTGGTGGCACTGGTTATGATCCGTTAACACCCAAAATATCGGTATGTATCCGTCTCCTTCTTTTAGTTGAACTCTTTCCAATAAAATTTGGTTTTCCTGAAGTCCATGTCTCCTCCTGTGCATGAATTTATTTAGCTTCTTTGTTTCTTTTTTGTGTATTAGTCTGCTATACCACTATCAGATCAATTGGACAACTTCAAACAATACATCGGCGAGCTCAAGAGGAACATTGGGGAAGAAGCTGCCCAGAATATAATCGCCAACAGCGTACTTTTGGTGGTAGCAAGCACCAACGATCTGCTTATTACCCTTCCCATCAGAAGATTAGAATATGATGTCCCTGCATATGTTAACATGCTGGTAAAATTAGCCTATGAGTTTGTACAGGTATTGATTCTTTCTAAGTTTTCAATGATCAGTATTTGTATCATATTTACACATTCAGACTTTTCATTGCAAGATAGAAACTAAAGAGTAGCAGGTGATTGTTGGCTTGCTGCAAATAAAGATTTCTGAAAACATGTACAGGCTTCAATGAAAAAACAAAAAAACAATATTTCATAGACAAACTGCAAAGAGTCGTCTTGAATTAATGAGATTACTTACAGATGTTTTAAAAATTCGTTGAAGGAAATACACAAACTGGGAGCAAGAAAGATAGCGGTCTTTAGTGCACCCCCGATTGGCTGTTTTCCCGCTGTAAGAACCATAGCTGGAGGTGTATTTAGAAGCTGCAAAGACGGGGAAAATGAGGCAGCACTATTGTACAACACCATTCTAAAACAACAACTCCAAATTCTTGCAAGCAATCTTCCTCAGTCCAGGGTGGCCTTTGTAGATTTCTACAATCCTCTGCTAAGCATCATTGAAGACCCTAACCAATATGGTAGTCACTAGCTAGATTCTATATATACACACACACTTCTTATATGCTTCAGTTGTTTATAGTTTTGAAGTTCCCTCAAAATCCCATCATTTTTGTCTTCAATTGTCATTTTATCTCTCACTACAACAAAAATTGGGTTTATAGGACGCCTCCAATATCTAAGCGTCTCAATAGACCGTTTTATAGGACTTAATTTATAAGATCAAAATAAAACCGTCATATCTAAAGGCGTTGTAATAAGCTTATATGACGCATTTGGGTGTCTTAACAAATTTTTAGGACATTTTTAATACAAAGCGTCGTATTAACAACTTTATATGACATTTTTGAGAAGGTGTTCTATAAACTCAATTTTTTATAGAACATTTGTTTTGATAGGACAGTTTTTCAAATAGTATTCTATAAAGTTGCTAATGAGACGCTTCATATTAAAAATGTTCTAAAAAACTTATTACGACGTCATAAAAAATGTCATATAAACTTATTACAACGCCTTTAGATAGGACACTTTTATTTTTTGGTCCTATAAACTAAGTCATGTATAGAGGTCTATTAGGACGCTTAGAAATTGGTAGCGTCCTATAAACCCGATCTTGTTGTAAAGTCTCAACGGTGATCATAGTTCGATAGCAGTCGTACCCTTCAATGAAACTTTTCATCTATATCTTCTGCAATTTTGGCCTACATTTTGCACATTCACATTTCAATAAGCTTTTCCTTTCTCTTTTCTTTTTCTTGTTTTCCCTAGGCTTGGAAGTTGTAGATAGAGGTTGTTGTGGAACCGGAAAGATAGAGGTGGTTTTTCTTTGTAATAATCTAAGCTCAACATGCTACAACGACTCTAAATACTTGTTCTGGGATAGTATCCACCTATCAGAGGAAGGAAGTGAAGTCTTCATAAATCTCATTCTACAAAATTTGGTGAACAGTTTGTTCTACAATAATACATGAGATGAATTGTTAGTGTTCAGATGTATAATGCATGCACCTTGTTATATGAATAAAGGAAGATGAATCCATTTACATTGGAATCCAATTAATGTGACCTTAATCAAGGGGTCGTCGCTTAGCGGCAAGAGCCACCATCTACCTTGTCAGGTAACGTTCTCGGCTATCAAAATAAAATGTTGGTAAGCGTCTTTTATCCGGTAAGCACTTAGCGGGTAAGAGTTTCTCCCTCATTTACCGGCTGAGATTATGTGTCCATGCTATGCCTTAATTTCCCTTTTCATTGCTTCATGCCGATGAGGATCTCTTGTTGCATGGTAATAATGCTTGGGATCATCACAACAGGTTATGGCCCATGGGAGCTAAGAAGGCCTTGTAAGGGAAAGAGAACTTATTATAAGAAATTAAATCTAAGAGGGAATGAACACTTAACGTTCATAAGGATGTGCACGAAGGCCCAAGGGTCGCAAATCAATATCAATATCTTGTAGCCTCTGTGGCTTGATTTTAATGTATGGTCCCATGAGGCTGCTTTAGGTGCGGGCATGTGATCCAGCCCCGTTATTTGAATTTTGAAACTAAATCAGGTGCAACAGATGCGTACTACTATTGTGGTTTGGGTGCAGAAGTTAATGCTTCTAGTGTTGATTGAGTGTCAAAAAATTATTGTTATGTTTTCATCGTAATCTTGAGAGGTGTTGGTGTTGGAGTCGCTATTCCTAGTTGGCATCAAATCAACAGTTACAGCCTTTATTCGTTCCTCTGCATGTCGAATAGCTGGCTCTATTAAATTTAAGTTATCAATATTATTTCAAGTGGACAAAATTTTATCAAAATATATGACCACTTAGAGTATGATTGAATCCTTGAAGAGGGTTTGAGATGAATTCTCATTATATATCCAAGAGATACAGAGGATCTTAATCTACAAGGAAATGATCACAAAATTTCCTAAATATATATAATCTAGGAAACTTCACAAAATAAATTATTTACATAATATTTACTATCACACCCCCACAATCGAAGCGGGAGGAGAGAGAACATTAAGACTAGAGCGAAAATCCAAGAACAAGGATGAAGGGATCCCCTTGGTGAAGATATCAACATACTGAAATCGAGAGGGCACGTGTAGAACAAGCACATGACTAAGGGAAACCTTTTCAAGGAACGAAGAAAATGTCCATATCAACATGCTTAGTGCATTGTTGTTGAAATGGATTGGTGGAGTGATATATCGCACTAATATTATGACGATTAACAACTGTGGGCTGTGTGAAAAGGGCAACACAATTGAAGGAGTAGGTTGCGTATCCACGAAGCTTCAACCACGACATTGTCGACACCTTTGTGCTCTGTTTCGGCACTAGAGCGAGACAAGGTGGCTTGGCATTTAAAAGACAAGGAAAGTAGATTGAGGCCCAAAAACACGCAATATCCAGATGTGGAGCAACGAAAGTGTCCGGACACCCACCCCAATCGGCACCCATATAGGCCGTAAGAGTGGTCGGGGGTAGGCATAAAGATGCAAGCCAAGGTCCCTAGTGCCATGAATGTAGAGTAAAATACGCTTGAGAGTGATGAGATCGATTGATGAGGGGCATGCATGAGTAAGCACACTTGTTGAACCACATAGCTATATCAAGACGGGTAAAAGTGAAATATTGCAGAGCACCAGCTAAGCTACGATACAAAGTGGGATCAACAACGGGTTCTCCTACATCAGCACTTAGTTTGGCTTTTCGTATCAACTGAAGTAAAAACCGTCTTGCAGTTGTCATTTTGACCCTTTTGTAAAATCTCTGAGCCGTACTTAGTCTGATTGAAAACATGATGTCATTCACACAATGAACATAGATGCGAAGAAAGTAACTAAGAGGACCCAAGTCAGTCATAGCAAACTCAATAATGAGAAAAATGATCACCTTGCACACAGGATGACATCGAAGGAAGTAGTGAGAACAATGTCATTGACATACAAGAGCAGAAAAGCAGTGTCACCCCGTGCTTGTATATAAGAAGAGACGAATCACTCTTCCTACTGACGTTGAGCTGGTGTTCGATCTCACTTACATCATTACGTGCTTAGATAAGCTCCTTTGACCTTCACCTTGTAAGTGGGCTTAGATCGCTTCCTGCCTTGCATACATATGTGCTTGTGCATGCTTTTATTTTGCTTATTTGTAATATCTCTGTTCAAACTTGGGTCAACGCAACCTTGAGCTGGTATTCGAGCTCATTTATATCGTTACGAGCTCAGTTAAGCTCATTTGACCAACTTGATCACCTTATAAGCACGCTTAAGCTCACTTTCGGTCGTGTGTACATTTGTGCTTGTGCATGCATTTATTTTGCTTATTTGTTTCTTTTTTAGGTGTATTAGATGCTATACAACTATTAGGTCCATTGGAAAACTTCAAACAAAACATTGCGGTGCTAAAGAGGAACATTGGAGAAGAATCTATGCAAAATATAATCAACATTGGTCGTAGCAAGCACCGACGATCTACTTATAACCTTCCCATCAGAATATTAGAATATGATGTCCCTGCTTATATTAATATTAACATGCTGGTAAAATTAGCCTTGGATTTTGTATGGGTATTGATTCTGACTTAGTTTTCTATCATCACTAATTGTACCATAATTACATATTCAGACTTTGCTTTGCAAGATAGAAAAATATATACTAGAAGGTGATTGTTGCAAATAAGGATTTCAGAAAACATAAACATACCTTATTTGCAACAATCACAAACATGCTTCACTGAAAATACAAAAACATATTTAATTTGCACATACATAAGTTGTAAAGAGTCATCTAGAATAAATTAGATTACTAGATGTTCTAAAAATTTGTTGAAGGAAATATATACGAATTGGGAGCAAGGAAGATAACGGTCTTCAGTGCACCCCAATTGGCTATTTTTGTGCAACGAAAATGTTAGCCGGAGGTCCACTTAGAAGGTGCAAAGACAGAGGAAATGAATTAGGACAATTGTTCAAGAGCATGCTAAAACACAAATCGAAGTTCTTGCAAGCAGTCTTCCTTGGTCGAGGGTTGCCTCTGTAGAATTTTACAATCCTCTAATAAGCATTAGTGAAAACCCTAACCAATACGGTATTCACTAGATTGAGTATATACTTCTTATATGCTTCTATGGTTTATAATTGTCATGTTCCCTCAAAATCCTGTCATCTTTGTGTATTGTCATTTTTTTTGAACAACAGAAGGCACCTTTATTCCAACCAAAAACTAGCGAGGCGCTAGAGAACACATATTATTTACAAAGTTTTGAAGTGGATCTTGTAACCCACTCAAATCTGGAAAAAACGATTAATTTAAAAATTCCATTAATTCAACAAATAAAGGGTAATTCTCTTTTCTATTAATCATACTTGAATTACCTCAGATATCGAATCTAAAATCATCATCAACTAGTAGGCTCAAAATTCCCTTTTTATGTCATTTTATGCCCAAAATATGTTTACTTGAGTCCCTTATTATGCTTATCATTGAATAGGAGTGAAATGGCCTAACATTGAAGAAAATGGGCCAAAAAGAGGCTCCCACGACTTATTGGGCGACTTAAGTCAAGCAAGAAGTCGTCCAACTCTCAGTGGAGCATAGTTTTCAAATGACTTGATGATGGAGCATACTTTCTCAAACTTTAAAGGGAGCTGGCATTTTTTGCAAATGTTGACTGAGTATATTTATTCAAAGGAGAAAGGACCCAGACATACTTTTTAAATGGAAAAAAATTAAAAGCATATGTTTCAAAGGATTAGGCTGGGAGTCGGCTTTTAAGAGTTTTTAGGAGGTTTTAAGGGTGAAAAACGGCCAATCCAAGGGGAATCGAGTTTTATTGATTGGAAGTATTTTTCTTCGATCTCCTTTCACTTTTGGTAATTTCTTTCCCTTTTTTATTTGAAAATTTTAACAAAAGTTTTTCTTTAGATTATGTTGCATTTACTTGAGCCTTTGTCGTAGTAGTCTTGTTAAACAAATTTATTTGCATGAATTTCGTTAGAATGTCGATTTCGTTTGGATCATTAATTAACTTGATCAATTAGTTAATGTTCTCATATATGAATTTTTGTTATTAGAAACCCTAACATCCGTAATTATCTAGGGATTTTGATATAGTGACGAATGAAATCGTTTGGTCTCAACAAAAATTTCAATTCGATTTCTTGAATTCTTGCAATGAATGCTCTTATAAGTCAAGCTTGTGTGCTTATTGCTTTGAGTTGGTGATTTTTCTAACTTGTTAATGTTAATTAATTGCACCTAGGAATGTGAGAGCTAGTTCAAATTCCCGTTTGAGATTAAGATTTCATTAAAAAGTTTGTTTTAATCATAGTTTATATAAGGGAAAATCTAGGTTATTAGAGCTTGTTGATAAAAATAGCCAATTTAGATTTGTTTAGCTATTTTACGTTTTCGGAATCAATAATAAGTATTCGCACTTTAATCGAGAGTGAGCCTTTGTTGGATTTTTATATTGCTTTTCTAATCGATCCATTCTTTTTTGGAACGGGAATTTTTATAAGAAAACTGAACTTGCAAGGAGCTAAGGGTACTTCAGATCAATTTTAATTGCATGTTTGGTTTAATAAAACAAATCCAACAACCCCCCCCCCCCCCCTGCAGTTGTCCGTTCTTGTCCTTGAATTCATTGGCCATATTAAGTTAAATTCAAGTTTTTGTGGATTTAACCCGACTTACCGCTATTACAATCTTGGTTGTAAATGGCTAGTAGTTGGAACTCATTACTTGGTGGACTCGGCATCCTTCAAGTACCTTCTTCCTTATTCTTTTAATTTATTCAATTATTTATTACTACATCTTGATATTACTATTCATTAGGTTGTTCTTAAGTTTTTCTCTTTAAGCTTTCAAAATTCTAGTTTATTTACATTGGATATATAGATTTCTGCATTTATTTCTAGTTAAGTTCTTTGTTCTTTAACCTTACCATCATTTGATTTCATTCCTTGCACCTTCTTAATTTATGCACTTATTTCATTTACTTATGCACTCATTTATATTTTTGCACATTACCATTTCCAACATCTGCTTTAGATTAAAATTTAATATAGTATTTTTGTTGATATCGATTTTACCCGAGTTCATGAGATAACAAACATTTACTGGTTAATTTGTTTTTATAAAAAATGGTTAACTTGCAAGCTTTGATACAAATGACACTTTGATCCTAATTTATGACTATATTGATAAAAAAATATTTGTTCTAACCATAATGTTTCTTTCAATGTATGCATATTGTGAAAGTAAATATGAGTTGTGGTTAATTTAGAAAAAGGTTTCTCACCTCGATAGAGGGTTAAAGTAATTTTACATAACAAACCCTCACCATTACAAAAATCCGAAGTTGGCAATTCTCGATGCCCTTTAGTATGTAATTTGTCTAGTTTTATCAGGTATTTAGTTTTTTTATGTTTTTTTCTTATTTTTTATTTGTTTATTTACTTTCTTCTAATTATTACAAAAGTAAAAAAAAGGCAATTGATTCTCGTAGCTAGCTAAGCCATAGTCTAAAACAAGTCCATATTTAGCCTATTGACTCCTCATAATCGACCCATATGCTACACTTCCCGTACACTAGCGGTTATAAATTTAGAACTCACATCAACATCAACCAAAGATCCTAACCTCTTCTATTGCGTTGGATGACTGGAATTTTCGGATAATATATGAACCGAATAGTTATTTTTGTTACCAACATTCTATTCGAAACTTTGATGTATCTAAACCGGATAGGCCGGAGTTTATTGCAGTGGACTGAATTTGATGCATGTCTACTAAACGTATTTGATGATCTACATATATACAGATATACGTTTTGATGTGCGTATAAAACATCTTTAAATCTTCATTTTGTCAAAGATGTGATTTGTACAACTAAAACAATTTATGGCAAGGAAAGAAAGATTGATTGGTACACCATTAGCATCTAATGTAGTTATTACTTGAACTTGATATGATGTATAATATCATTTTCATTTTATATTTCCCCTACGCATCTCTAATTATTCGGTGGTTGATTTTAAAGAGTTAGAGATCTAATTACTTCCTTTCGTATGGACCGTAAATGAAGCCTGATAAAGTAATAACTTCCCATTTGGGTTTCTTTTCTCCAACTTGATTCCATATTTGAAGTTATTTGATTGATTTAGTTGATGTAACCTTGAGTGGAGTGTTGAAAAGGATGATCATCTAGAAAATTCTGGATCCACCTCTAATTCATATAACTTGTATATGCAAGCAAGTATATTAACATGTGAATACACAATTAGTATTTGTATATACAAGCATATTTATATCATTCACACACGCATATATATACACATACACACACATATATATATATATATATACATATATATGAATGTCATGTTTATATCATTCTTACATGCATGTGCATGTGAAACTTTGTGGAATTTTCTTTCTTTTTAAAATACGCTTTCCAAAAATAGAAATTCTCTAAACGATAAACTCTTAAACTATAAAATTAAATACCTTTTTTAGAATTATGTTCTTCAAAATAAGAAGCAAAGCATGATATATTTCGTTTCCATGTTTTGAACACATGAGATATTAGCAACTAGATAGCTGGCAAATTATATTCTTCATGAAACGTGGAAGAAACAAGTCCAGAATTCATCTCTATATAAGGGAGTCATTGTTTCCATTTCAAGTGCATAACAAATATTTCAATTAAAATCCTATTTATATTGCTAAACAGGAGAATAATTTACTCCATATATTCTCCATGCTTCGTTCAGTTGTTAAGGATGTTTTATTTTGTCTGTTTTCTGTTGTATATTTATGTAGCAGGGTGGAAACAAGAAATCTGTCAAAAAATGTCTCTGTGTCGGCCGTCTTAGCATTCGGAGGCTCCTCCGTTGATCAAGGGAATAACAACTATATCGACACTATGATCAAGGCTAATTTCCCTCCTTATGGAAAGGATTTTGAGGGCGGAAAACCAACCGGAAGATTCTCCAATGGCCGAACAATAGCTGATATTTTTGGTACAGTTTTTTTTTCTTTCAAATGGTCCATATATACAAATCCCCTCTTTCACGTTTACTCGGCAAACAACCGCCCTTTCAGGTTTACCACACAAACTTCCAGTGTGTCTACCTCTCAAGAACCAAGTCTGAAGAAAATCTAAATAAAAACAAATGCTGAATTTCAAGATTATTTGCCAAAATCTTAAAAATAAAAAGGCAAACGCTACAAGAAGTAAAAGACTTATCTGAGTCTTGTAGCACATGCATATTGTAGTTTCTAATCATTTCGACTAATAAACTGCAATTGTTTGATAATGAAATTTTAAGCCAAGGCACTAGGAGTGAAGGAGTATCTTCCAGCATATCTAGATCCTTCCCTTCAAGAAGAAGATCTTCTATCAGGTGTAAGTTTTGCTTCTGGTGGCTGTGGCTATGATGATTTAACAGTCACAATAACGGTATGAACGCTTATCCTGCTTTTAGTAGAACTCTTTCTTTCTACCGTTCCATTACCAGATGAAATGATACGCGATTGCGAATGCAGGCAATAATTTTGCTTAATTTGTTTTGTTTGGTTTTTTTTGGGGTGTACAACTTAGTCTGCTATACCACTGTCAGCTCAATTGGAAAATTTCAAACAATACATTGGGGAGCTCAAGAGGAATATTGGGGAAAAAGGTGCCCAGAAATTAATCACCAACAGTGTATTTTTGGTAGTAGCAAGCACCAACGATCTGATTATTTCCCTTCCCATCAGAAGAATATTACAAAATGATGTCCCTGCATATCTTAACCTGCTGGTAAAATTAGCCTTGGATTTTGTTCAGGTATTTACACATTCGAACTTTGTTTTGAAGATAGAAAATAAAGACTAGCAGGTGATTTCTGCAAATACAGATTTCAAAAAACATGTGCTTTAATGAAAAGACAAAAATGTACACATTTGATTTTATGCAAACACATACCGGATAGAGTTGTCTTGAACGAGATTATTGCTTAGAGATGTTACTGAAATTCGTTGAAGGAACTACATGACCTGGGAGCAAGAAAGATAGTTGTCTTTGGCGCACCCCCGGTTGGCTGTTTTCCGGCTGTAAGAACGATAGCTGGAGGTGTACTTAGAATCTGCAGACATGAGGAAAATGAGGCAGCACAATTGTACAACAGCATGCTAAAACAACAGCTCGATGTTCTTGCACACAGTTTTCCTGATCAATCCAGGGTGGTCTTTGTAGATTTCTACAATCCTCTGATGAGCATCATTGAAAACCCTAAAAATTACGGTATTCACTTGATCACTATATACCTTTATGAAGCACATGTGTGTGTGT